TTCCGTTCCGTCTTTGTCACCGGTTTGTTAGGCTGAAAATTAAAATCAACACTTAAGTTATTTGATAAGCGAAAAGCTTTTGACACCTTTTTTCCATCTCATGCTTCTTCCGGTTTCTTATCGCCCTTTCGTTTATATCAATCCAATCTCTGTCGACAGGGTCTGTGTGTGTGTGTGTGTGTGTGTGTGTGTGTAATTATATATGTGTGTATGTAAGTCAGCCGAACCATTTAACGTTCCCAGTCGTTTCTGTTTGTCTTTCCGGATTTTTTTGGATTGTAATCCGTTCGTTTAAATTGCAACAGCTTTCATCGGCTGAAGGGTTTGTTTTTGCGTTTGTACATTCTACACTTTCATTTCTGTCGTCGTAAATTGTTCTCATATGCGCTGACAGTGTGTCGCTCTAATTTTGTTTCGTTTCAGTTTTTAAATTAAAAAATATTATTGAATTTTTGAGCTTTGGCCTCCCATTTGGTCTCATGGTATATCGTTCACGAAATTTGTTCGTCAGTGGTCCTCGTCTTCCAGCAATAGCTCCTCATTTTGGGATGGGAGCAGGGAGGGGAAAATGGACAGAGGCCAGCTGGAGACGGACTAATCGATCTTAGTGATAGCAGATGGTAATTTCATGCTAAATGCATGGAAGTGATGTTTGACGAGTATTGCTTGAGCACGAATGTCATGTTCGATGTACCGCCGTTATTTCCATTAATTCAATCGTTGCTTCGTGGGTGTACGGTAACATCACTGATATATCCCGGGCTATCGGTATGGGGATTCCCAGTAGCACTAGGGCAGCGATATACGTTTTTTACTGCAGTTCCAGGAAACAAATTTTATCGCTTCTACTGATCTGTGAACGCTCCTTGCTCTGGATTGCAGAGGAAATCAATGGTTTGAATAACACAGAGACCAATCTCCTTGTAATTTGTTTCGAAGACAAATTGGTACTTGTCAACTGGCATCTTAGGAACGGAGTTGTGGAACGACTGTTGATGAATATATCAAAACTTGGGCCTTTTGAGGATTCCTCCGCTTAGTACGTAAGGTCACGGAGCAGCCAAAGTCTGGCCTTTTCAGTGCTTCGAGCTTAATATCTTCACTTATTACGTGCTGCTTGCTCGTTATATACCCGCTTTTTTTTGGACTCCATCTCAGGTGATTGTTCACTTCCTCGCGAGTACCACTAATAATGAGACGTCCATCAGATTTAATTTATAAATTGTCAAAAAAAACTGATATTGGAAGCGGCTACTGGTTCGCTGCTGAATCATGTCCAGGACATTCACAAATGGTGCAGCCAACAGTTATGCCATTTTCTTTCTTCATTTCATAACTGTTTTGACCAATACTGCATTCCCTAGTGGTCAACCTACTGGTGGCTTTGGCGCTTTTTTTGTCTCTTGAATTTTTTATCGTCTCCAGCAGCCCTCTCGCTAGAAGCACTTTGACAAAACTGAGCTGATGATTCAAAG